TGTTAACGTTGTCTGTTCTTGCAGGAGGGCAGGCTCGAGGCCAGTGATGGGAGAGCGGGACGCACAGGTGAGTGGGGCCCAGCCCGGGTCGCAGCGGCAGTGCCACGCCCCGTGTGATGAGGCTGCAGGCACAGGGGTGCGTGTGTGATGGCGGTGGCTCGGTCTGTGAGTCACTGTGATGTCCATGCGGCCAGATGGCTGAACGAGGCAGCTCCCAGAACACGCCTCTGTCATCACGCCACGCATGACCGTGCTCAGCTGTCTTCTGATGAGTGAGGCTGTGTGCTTCAGACACGCGGGTCTCGTTTCTCTCAGAGCCTTCGAGACCCCTGCGTTCCCAGGTGGTGGCTCGGTAGCCTGTCGGGAGCCATCACTTCGCCCCAGGGGGCAAGGTGTCCCTCTGTAGCAGCCACCATGCTGGGCACTGGGGTCTCGAGGGTGGTGGGAGTGGCCTCTGAGTCTCTGTGGCCACGGGCTGGCTTCTCACGTGCAGAGGGCAGAGTGGCTCAGACGGAGTGCGGGCTGGGAAAGCTGGCGGGCGGCCTCACGCCCAGGGTGTGTCCTGAGGACTGTCCCCTCGTCCTCCGGTCCGCCATGTCCTGAGCACCACTCTGCTCAGCCAGGCTCCCACAGGTGGCGCCCGCAGCTCTGCACACCGCCTGGTCTGCCGGAGCACCAAGAGGGCTGGTGTGCCCAGGAGCGGGGCCCCTGTCAGCAGGAGGGTGGGTCTGAGGGGCCGATGTTCCCCAGGAGGGGGTCCTGTCAGCAGGAGGGGGGGTCTGAGAGGGGCCGGTGTGCCCAGGAGGGGCCCTGTCAGCAGGAGGGGGGTCTGAGGGACTCTTAGTGGGCCTTCTGCAGAGCGACGATGCCACAGGGCTCAGGGCTCCCTCTGTGCTGTGCGGGGCAGGGGCGGTGACCTGGGTCCAGCTGGGCGGGTCAGTGGGGTGGGGTCGGGCAGTGTCCTGTCCTGGGCAGCCCCCTCCCCCACGCCCTGCCAGCTGCCTGGGCTGTGCAGGTCAGCAGGCCTTCCTGGAAGTGGGGCTCCTGGGAGCAACGTGCTTAGTGTCGCCCATCTCCCCTGTTCCAGCACTACTCAGAGGACCGCCATAGCCACGGAGGACCAGAGCGCCACGGCCGGGACTCCCGCGACGGCTGGGGCAGCTACAGCTCCGACAAGAGGATGAGCGAAGGCCGGGGGCTCCCTCCCCCCAGGTCAGTAGTCAGGCCACCGCAGGGCCT